AACTCACTAGTGGTCCTCCACAAACTAACATGATGGACATCTGTTCCCAAACAGAACCAGGATTCATTGTTAAAGATAGTACACTACCAGTCTACAGCAATGATTACTTTTCTATCATGACATTACTGCAAATGAAGTTGATGATGATAGGATGCTATGCTACTGGCAAGATGCTTAGTAGTCACTATACATGTAAGCTTTTCTCTGCTAGTTACTTGCCAATGGTACAGAAAGAGATTGGACTCTAGTGAGGCTTCCACCTGTCTCTGGATAATGGACAAAGACACCATTACAGCTTGTCTCAGATCAGATGATCATCTCTCCTGTGATCTGTCTTGGATATCCAATGCTTGTCAGCCATCCATATGTGGCTCACAACAACTGCTCATAGTCAGGTTAGAACTGTCCAGATGATGAACAATTTGACAAAATGGCTATCTTACTTCCGTGAACTCAATATGACCTTTCTCAAACACTTTGATGTCTTTGATTGCACCATATAGGCATGCCTGACATTTGAAGACTTTTAAACGACAGATACACTAAAACTTCCAAAGACAATGAGCCTTTTTACAGATACTGAATTAGAAATTTTAAGGCATTAGAGCAATCGATGGTATGCAATAAGACCACAACTATAATGATTTACATACCTGTCTAAGACACAGCTGTATACTGAGTTTTTCAGTAATTAGAAAATTCTAACTCGGTGCATAACTTTTTTGCAATTAATGTATTTTAAGTAAAATCCTATATAAATTTTCCAGTATAATTGATAAGATGCAATCATAACTTCTTATTTTTATAATTAATAAATATTTTATTTGAACTGTAATATGATTGATATACAAAATATTTTGTGCAAATATATAATTTAACAAATTAGCAATAATCAAATTTTTTTTTTCTAGTTTTCTTATTGTAATATTCTCTGGCAGTTGTTTTAACATCCACAAGTCTTCCTATTTTTGAAGAAATTTGATCTTTAAATTTTTTTCAAAAATATATGAAACTATCTTTCTTGATTTTTAAAATTAAATTATTAAATAGCTTTTCTATAGTTTAGAAAATTCTAATATCTTGTAGTTTCCACTTATACTTCAAATTTATATCACCCCTCAAAAAAAATATTTTTTGATGGATTGTGTCATTCATTGAATACAACTCTACATTAGTAGGTTAAATAAATAAATTACACAGGTCAACAAAAAAAAGTTTTTTTTTTGGTGCCTAGGATTTTAGAACTGATTTTAGCTATATTTGGGTGGCTGAATCCAAATATGAAATCAGTTTTTTTCTATCAGCTCTACTTTTTTTAGATCTGTGTTTTTTTAACGTACAGTGCTACTTGAAATGTGCAACTCTAATTCCAGTTTGTACAGTTCTAAATCACATATGCAAGAATTGATTCCTGTATATTTTCCCCATTGTTAGTCTGCCGTCCAGTTAGTTTCAGGTAAATCCATCAAATGAAGCAAGCATTCGGTAACGAATTGACATTCAATGCTTCAACTAGAGTTGAGGTAAGTTTGTAAGTTCTAGCCGTGCAGTGTCTAGATCAGTGTTTCCATTTTTTTTGTGCTATGCCCCACCTAAGCCTTTCTAAAATTCTTATGCCCCCCTAACGTATACACTTAATTGCCACACTGTTTTGTCGTAACCACAATAAAACCTGATCCTTTCATCAAAGTCTCTCATACTTTCCAGTTGTTGCCAAACACAACCTGGAACACAACTCATGTCTGTCCACCTCAAGGTCTGGGCAAAGAATGCCCTTTCTCCTCTTTCATCAGCATCAGGACTTCATTCATCTCTGTTCTCAGTGGTTCCAAGAATTGTTAATCCCACCCCAAGGGAAAAGGGTTATAAAGGAAAGTTCTAGAAGGAAAGGGAAACAAAGAACAAAGTACTGTGTTCTAGATGCTTTTATTTGTGTTGTTGAATAGAAATAAAATGAGTTCAAGTAGAAGAAGTTGTGTAAATCATTCTGATGTGTTTTGCTACATATGCGGAGAATATACATTAAAAGAAAACAGAAAAACTATTAGTGACTTTGTAAAGAGATCTTATCTTGGATACTTTGGTGTTAAACTTGGTGATCAGGATAAAACCTGGGCACCGCATCAGGTCTGTAAAACTTGTACAGAACATTTACGACAGTGGACTACTGGGAAAAGAAAAAGTCTGAAATTTGGCGTACCGATGGTTTGGAGAGAACCCAAAAATCACTTCAATGACTGTTATTTCTGCCTAGTAAATATTAATGGAATCAATCGTAACAACCGTAGCAAGTGGATTTATCCTGATTTAGTCTCTGCAAGACGCCCGGTCCCTCACTCACAGGAAGTGCCAGTTCCATCATTTCACCAGCTACCAGAGCTCTGTGAGGACGAGTATCCCTCTGATCCTAATGAAGGTGACTGTGATTACGAGAGAATGTCATCAATTCCTCAATGTTCAACCAGGATGAGTTAAATGACCTCACCAGAGATCTCAACCTGCCAAAAGAAGCTTCTGAAATTATTGGCTTCCAGGTTGAAGGAGAAAAATTTACTGGAGCAAGGAACCAAAATTACCTTTTATTGTACAAGAGAAAAGGATCTGCTACCCTTCTTCTCTCAACAAGACAATCTTGTGTTTTGTCATGAAATTAGAGGACTCTTGGAAAAAATGGGCCTTCTTGAATATTTTTCAGATGATTGGTGCCTATTTATTGACAGCTCAAAACGAAGTTTGAAATGTGTCCTTCTACACAATGGGAACAAATATGGTTCAATACCAATTGCTCACTCAACGAAAATGAAAGAAGAATATAACACCATAGCTCTGGTCTTGGAGAAGATAAATGGGTAATTTGTGTAGACTTAAAAATGAAGAACATCAATGGGTAATTTGTGTAGACTTAAAAATGGTAAACTTTCTCCTTGGACAGCAAATTGGCTACCCCAAATATCCTTGCTTCTTGTGCCTCTGGGACAGCAGAGACAAAACATACCGAGTTAGAAAAGAGTGGCTTAAGAGAGAAAACATGGACGTTGGAGAAAAAATGTCATTAACAACCCCTTAGTTGAATGAGAGAAAATCATCTTTCCTCCACTGCACATCAAGCTAGGCCTAATGAAGCAGTTTGTAAAGGCTCTTGATAAGAAGGGATCATGCTTTGCATACATAGGGGAAAAAATGCCTCAGTTAAGTATAGAAAAAATTAAAGCAGGAATATTTGGCGGCCCATAAATAAGACAACTCATTAATGATCTTGCCTTCGTAAATTCGATGAATGAAACTGAGCAAAAAGCCTGGACTTCATTTGTTGCAGTTGTCAGAAATTTTCTAGGCAAATGCAAAGCTGAAAATTATGTTGAACTGGTAAATGAGATGCTTAACAGTTTCAAATCCCTTGGGTGTAATATGAATACAGTAGAGCCTCGAAAACTCAGCCTAATGTGGACCGAAGGGTGGCCGAGTTTGTGAAAATGCCGGGTTATCAGGAATGGGGTTAAAAAACTACGTATGAGTTTTTCCTCAGAAAATACTGTACTATATTTTATGTATTGTTTACTTGAGAATATAACAGAGAATAAACTGCCCAAATACCCTTAAACAAAGGAAAAGTACGACCTTTATGAGGACATAGAGCCTTTATTACAAGAAAATGAAAATTAGTAAATACACTGTGTACAGTAATTTACCTGATAAGACAGACCCCAGAAAAATACTTTATGAGGCATAAAGCTGTCTATAATGAAAATTAATTAACTAAGGATATTTTTGCCCTGCCAGGGTGTGGCCGAGTTATCCAGACTGCTAGGTTATCGAGTGCCAAGTTTTCGAGGCTCTACTGTATTAAGGTGCACTATTTACACAGTCACTTAGACTGTTTTCCTGAAAATTTAGGAGACACCAGTGAAGAACAAGGTGAAAGATTTCACCAGGATATTAAAATTATGGAGGACCGCTACCAAGGAAGATGGAATACGCATATGATGGCAGATTACTGCTGGAGTTTAAAAAGGGATTGCTCCAAAATACATTCACAAAAGTCATGGAAAAGAAGCTTCCTCAATGTGTAACTGTTCAGTTTTATTGATGACTTTTTCCTCTATCTTTGTATAGAATAATATTTGCATAATATAATAATAAAAATTCTATGTTTAGTTTTTTTACTTGATCCATGGATTTAACTTAAGATATTGAAAAATTTGCTAAAATGCTATAACTTAAAAATTAGAGCTCCTAGGCAAAAACTAATGTCATATTTGAATTCAGGACATCAAATTCATATGAAATCAGCTCAAAATACCTGGNGTGCACAATAAAACACTAATGATCTTATATTATCCTATTTTTAGATATATATATATATATATAAATGGACGTGTGTGTGTCCCTATATATATATAGATGTCAAAATTCCCCCCATGGGGGAGAGGGGCAAAATTAAGGCTGACCGTGAAGAACTCGGCTTCTATTACATTTTAGATGCGGTTTTTTGTGTTTTTGATTGCGTTTTAATAGGGTACGTCAAGAGAATGTACACTAAAAAGGGATTTTTCAAAATTCCCTCCACGGGGAGTGTTATACATTTATAATAGATATATTTTGAGCCACAGCAATGTGTGGCCGGGTACAGCTAGTATATAAATAAAAGCATGAAGCATGTGAATAGAATTCTTCAGGAGATCCTTAAAATGGATGTACAGCTATGTCTGGTATCTACTACTGTACCAATATCACATTGTCAGCTATAGTGGGGGAAAGATTGAAGTACTGGAGGGCCCAAAATACCTGAAAATCTAAAAACCCAGCCATGGATTAATACAGCCCTGACCAAGTCATCTCTTCACAAGTAAACTTTTCTTAAGTTATACTGGTGATCAAATACAATGAAGAATTTAATCTATGTTGATAACATTTACATGTATATCATGTCAGAAAATCTACCAATATCATGGTGTCTTAATGACTTCACAACAAAATCTATCAATTATATACATATTTACCTGCCATGGAATATTGTATTTCCAGAGATTTAAACTTTCAATAATATGCTGTAAGTCTTGTCTAGGACTTGTTTCATTTGGAACAAGAGCCAATACTAGTAAACACAATTGGCTTGTTGGTGTATTTTGATCAACATTCTGTAATCCATAACGAAGAGTTTGAAGTTTGTAATTTAAGATCAGCATTAAATCTGGAAATGGATCTGGAAAAATTTATTACCTTTTTTAAAATAAATTTTTAATTAAAAATATGTATAATATAAAAATAATAGAAATTAAATATGTATCCTGTATATCAAATTAATCTTGTACTAGAAAATCATTTGAAGTATATCAAATAATAAAATAATTTAATATACAAATGATGAATATCTTAGAGGGGAAAAATATATATTTACCATCAACATTTTCAATTTCAGCATTCCCATCAATAACATATACAAATGCACTTGCATTCTTGCAAGCATTTTTTGCAGGATCAATCAATTGCCACAATTCAGCAGTTTTCAAAAATAATTTGTTATGAGTAAGACGTTCACTCACAGGTAAAGGTCTCCGGAGAACCTTTGTATTTGAATAGAGAAAAAATATGCCAAGCAATTCGTTTTCATATTTAACTGTAATTGCATCTGAAAATTATTTATTTAGAGAGTGAATTATATATTTTATTACAAAATAAAAATAAAATAACAGTTTAATTATTAAACATATCTCCTAAGTTTATCAAAAGAATAAGATTTATTTGAGGAGGAAGAAAGCAGTTATGTATGCAAGAAGATTCATATTAATACTAAATGAAATACATGCTTTGCCAATTAATGATGATGATACATTCTGAGAAATATGTTGTTAAGCAAACATCACAGAGCATTAATTAATTTAAAAAAAAAAAAAACACAAAATCCAGTAAAAGGGATCATTTATTTACAAAATGAATATTTTTGATCACATTTAATGGCCACCTTCAGGTTCTAGAATGGAACATAATAAATCAAACAAAAAAACAATTTTTGAAAATTATAACAAAATTTGGAGATTAATTTGGAAAAAAACAAATTTGGAAATTATGAGTATTCAATAAACAGGGACGATGGTCCACTCTTGTTCATTTACATGATAACAGAATGAATTGTTAATATAGATCTATATCAACAATCCACTGATCCAAAAGATCATATAGATCTTTGAGCACTAGAATCAAGGAACATCAAGACAATATTTGGACACAATTATGTACAATTGCCTTGGCAGTCTTTACTTTTGATTCTGATGTTAATATGTCTTTCAATAGATTGCACCAACTACGTTTGATACCACTGATTCATGCAACTTTTTAAAAATTCTTAGGTAGAGTTAAATGTAAATAAAATTAGCTCAAAATTGCATAGGAGTAAAGAGATCATATAAAACTAGTGTAGACAATCTGAAGAAATGCACTTTACAAGTAATGTTATCTGTGGCTATTCAATGAACAAGTGACTGGTGATTGGGAAAAATCCAGAATTATGGTGACAGAAAATTGGTGGTAAACACGTATTTCATATTTACCTGAAAGTAATAATGTCTAATGCTTCTAACCAATCAGATTAACCTTTATTGTTATAATTTAATTATAAATCAACAAAATCACTTCATAATTTATTAACAATTATGCAGATAAATCACTGATATGTATTTAACTAACATTAGAGAAAATCATATATTGGGATAAGTACTGGAAAACATATATACAGTAAATTCTCTAGCACCATCACTTGTTTACCTCTAAAATCAGTACTAAATTAAGTATGGTGATAAACTAATGAACTGAAACAACAAAATTAATACAAATAATAAGGAACTACAAAAATTATATTAAACTAATTTATAGACATTGTTGATCTAATGATTATTTGCAATAAAAATAACATACTGTAATAAGATCTACAGGTAACTATAACTTTGTAAGTTTGAAAGTTGTGATTTGGTGATAATGTTTGAAATGCAAAATCATACTAATAGAGTCAAAAATGAACCTCACTTTTAACACAGGTTTTATTATACAACATGCAGAAACTCTTACCTCACTATTTTCAATATAAGCTCTTAGACACTTCTGCCAACATTCATAAAAGTCCTGGATGCCAAATTGTCAAAAGTCCTGGATGCTTTATAGACTTTCATCACTGGCTTCAACCTCTGCAGCCAATTAAAACTTGCACCTCTTTCATTGTAGGAAGAGGAAAAAGTTTGCAGGGAAAGATCAAGGGAATAAAGAAATGAAAGAAACATTGTTATGTCTTTCTTATATTAATATATTCATGAACAAGGAACAACTGATTAAAGCCAAATGTGCAAGCTGCAGTGACAAAAGCCCATTGCAAAAGATTGCTTCCAAGACTGCTTTGACAAGTGGTATAGATGTTGATGGAAATATACAGCTGCAGAAGATGATTGCTTTGAATGTGTTGTTGTGAAATGTTCACAAAAGTTTGATTTATTTTTGACTTTACCACATATATCTACTGATTCATACATATAGAATGTTGCAGCTAGCACTATTAAAGGGTTCCAAGATTTAAAAATTTAATTAAATAATAAATCACCAACCGATTGCCTAAATATTGGGCTATAATAAGGCTAATTAAATGATTGTTATAAAGTAATTTGACACTAGAGGTAGACGTTAGGCACCATCTCTTAAGTAAATTAATAATTATAATTAAATAAATAAATTATTAAATAAATTTAGAACCTTCTGGAAAAAAGAACTGGCCCAGGACAGGGAGAGGGAAGATCAATTAAAGAGTTATTAATAAGACATAAGATAGGGTATCACTTACAAAAAACCATAAACTATCTCTTGTAAAGGTCCCTCCCTTAATTTACAAATTTTAGCCACAGCTACTAAAGCCATTAACAAGCTTGAACCCACAACCTCTGCTTGCTGTGCGGTGAACTTGCCAGTTACTCCACCCGAACCCTGAGCGAGTCTTCGCTTCCAGAAGTATATTACATTAGATATAACCTTACTTGGTTAAATACGGCACTGACGGGACGACTCCATCGCCCACGGCCTAAGACCATCTCCACAATGGCACTCAGCCAGCTATCGCATTACCCGGCGAGATATATATATATATAAATGATAACATCTCAAAACCTGAGTAGTAACAACAAATCACCAAACGATCACCTAAATATCAGGCTATAACTGGCAAGCATAACTAGCAAGCGCACCACATGGCAAGCGGAGATTGCGGGTTCAAGCCCCGTCCCGGGCCAGTTCTTTTTTCCAGAAGGTTCTAAATTTATTTAATTATAATTATTAATTTACTTAAGAGATGGCAACTAACATCTACCTCTAGTGTCAAATTACTTTATACCAATCATTTACTTAGCCTTATTATAGCCCGACATTTATTTATTGTTACTACTCGGGCTTTGAGATGTTATCATTTATATTATTATATATACACTGACTTCCACACCAAAAAATTCTCCAAAATGATAATGGTATTATGCATAAAATACCAGTAAAAATAAGTACTTAAACATATATTTTTAAGAATATCAACATTAAAGTTTATATAATGATACAGAAAAAAAAATAAATTATCAAATATAAAAATAATTCTTATTAAAACTGACATTAATGACACTAAAATATTTCAAGCATGCTCACTGGGAGGGAAGTTAATAAAATAAGATCATATTAAAGTATTTTTAGCTGGGCTTCAATTCAAAAGTAATTACAAATTTTGTCTAGTAAAATTTACTGTGAAAAACAAATATATTCAGATAAATATACTATCATCCTTAAACTGTATGTTTTAATTAATAGGTTAAAGTCTAGATCAAGAATTTATCAAAAACATTGTTTCTTCAATAAATTTATTGCATAACAAAGTGTGTGCATTTTCAAAATGTATACAATTAATGACATTTAATTTAAATACTATTCAACTAATTTAGAAGATAGACATTATTCTGTTAAGATGAAAATATTGGAATATATATTGGAAGAAATTCTAAATTTTCATTTGATCTTTGGATTTTGCATTGTAACATTATTGTAACTTTTGATATGCTCACTGTTAAGAAATCTTTTAGACAAAATTTGAGTATTCACTGTATTTATCTGATCTGATTTCTAAAACAAACAATGTCACAAAGAGCATGCATATTTCAAGATAGCTATATAGTTATTTAAAGAAATGCATAACTAAAACAAAATATTGCCAAAAATATTACTTGAATGATATTTATGGAAGTATTTCTCTAATATTCTCCAGAGAAGCTTACTCCTAGAAACATTTTAAATGANTAAACCGGGTGAGGTTGGTGCTCTGTAAAGCGCATGCGCAAATCTGGCTTTTCGTAATCTGAAAATACAGGAGATTCCACTCCGCCACTAATATTGTAATATACAATAGCAATTTTTTTCCACGTGTAGTATAGAAATTTGTAATAAGATACATAATGCGGTTATAATAAAATATTGTGCGATTATTTTCATATAATTAAAATTAATATTTATTTATTTTTTAGAGAATACGAGGGAAGCGCCGCTTCCAACGCTTCTAATGACGGCACGCTACTGATATTTAGAACTCAAGTGATCCAAGAACCTGAGGCAGATCTTGGTAAGATCGAAAACGTTCGTTCGTTTGTGTATCGTATCTTACCGGAAATTAAAGGTTTAGCAGTGATATTTTGGTGGGGCCGATAATTAGTCAAGAAGTTTGTAACTTTTATTTAAAAAAAACACACGTAATAAAATGATCGCTTACAGTCAGGTCGTGTTCATATTTTTATGTTAATTGACTTTTCTTTTTAACACAGAAATAAGAGGAAGTTCTTCCGTTAAACGATAAATCTAGATAATTAATTATTTTTTATTATTAAAACTTGCTTATTAAAATTCGTATTAGTAATTACAGTATCTGGATAATCATCGTGAAGACCATAGATTGCCAAATTTTCTATTGGTTGGCTATAGCACATGGTTAAAAACCGCCATCGGTCGAAAGTTCCGAGTAATAGGAGTCTGACTCCCTCCGGCGGGAGAGCCTTTAAAGCCTGGGTTTTTACGCCATCGGGGCCCGGTGTAGCGTTACGGAGGTGGCGAAAAGCTCGGCGGAGGTCGAGAAGGTGGAACGGCTGGACCTCTGTCCAGGTATTATGTTGACGAGGTGCTAGAAGTGGAGCGAATGCCCCAGTTGGGCGGGGACCTGGCGAAGAAATCTGCCAAGGCTTCCGCTTGATGGGAGGGAGTGATTAGGTAATCTGGGTTCCTGAGAATCAGATGTGAGTCGGGTAAGACGGCTGATGTCCGCAGCCCGCAGAAGATTTTGTACAATGTTGTCTGAGAGAGGGAAGGCGCAAAGGCGGCCCCATCACTCTCGGCGAGACTGATGGATCTTACGGTAGAGCTGCGCTCCTACGGCCATATGTTTGCTATACTGTATCTTATCAACAATGTACAGTAGACCCCCTATTACACTGTTGATAATTTCGTGTTATATAAATTCAATGTTCTACGAGTCACTTAGATTGTACAAATACGTGTGCCGGGCTATGAACGGCTCACGTATTTGTACAATCTAAGTGACTCGTACAACATGGAATTTATATAACACGGAATTATTAACAGTGTTATAGGGGGGTCTACTGGTATATCCTTTACTTTTTCGTATAGCGGCGCAGTGCTGAAATGCACCCAAACTAAAAATTTTAAGGAATCCGATACATGTTCATAAAATCATTTTGCTTAAGTAACGTGTAAGAAAATTTTATAGCAACGCTAGTGCCGAGATTAGAGAGGTTGCGGCCGAAGTTTTCATCTCTAAAACGTGAACGTCGAACGTCTCAACCTCGCTATTATTGGATTCACTAATCTCGTTTTTAATATTTCGGGTTTTAGTAATCCTTCGCAGAAATTTGTTGGTAAAATCCTCGCGTCAGTAATCTCGGTATTAGTCTAATAATTGGATTTACAAATACCACGATTAAGCAACGTTGGTGAAACAATCTTTACAAAAGTTAGTGTTTTGTAAAGATTTGATCTGTTATTCCGGAGGATTCGGGTTCGAGTTAAGTCAGAATCTTAAAAATTTTCTTAGATAATATGAGAAAATAAATCTGAGAAGTCTCGAAATAAGGCATGCTTAAGATTGATTTATTTCTGATTATTTTTTATAAAAGATTTAATTTTAAATTTATATCGCTTAAATAATTTTCAAATTAAATTGTTTGGACAAATTGAATCACTGCAAATCACCCATCTCCAAAAATACATTGATTATAATCATTTAAAACAATAATAAATAATTTCTTATTTTATTTTAAAAATTAAAAAAACAAAAACATTTTTGCAATTTTTATCTAAAATTTGCACAAAAAATACAACAATAACTAGAAAGAATATTAAAAATGCGTTAGTTTGGCTATTTTACTACATCTATAAATTGGCAACACTGAAGAAGAGTTCTCTGTAAAGCTTCTCGTAGGATCGTCAGTATGGTAAGTGCAAATATATTAAATCTACTTTAATCGGATGTAAAATGTGAAATTATACAGAAATTATTTTAAGTTTTCATTTTTGAAACCTTTAAGTTTGATTATAGTAATTTTTTGAAAGTATAAAACCTGAGTGGGCATTATGTGAATTTTTCTGTATTTGAGGTATGGAGCCCATTCAGTTATATTAAAAATTTAAGGTTATATTTTTAATAAAAGGTAAAATGTAATTAAATCTATAAAATGGAGCCATTTATTGATGAAATTTTTTTATTTTTATAGTTTTCTTGAAAAATGAAATCAAATTTTTCTAAAATACTATTATAGTATAAGGCATTTATTAGTGGAACTTTTAGTTAATTCATGTGCTATATCTGAATGTATAAATAACTTAAAGGTAACTCGTGCCCATTTACTTTAGTTATTTTTTTTATTTAAATAAATTTCATATATGTGTGAAATCCTTTCTTTGTGTGAAAACAATGGAGGTCCTATTTTGCCCTGTTGTTACTTTGGATAACATTTTGGTAATTATACAGTTTAAGGGAATATTTTGAGTTTTTTATTGTTATATTAAAAAGTAGGTATATTTAATAGACATTCAAAAAACGCATAATTTTTCCAGGCGACCCACATATAAAGTTCTATAAACAAAAAATGTGGGACTAATTACCGATTGTGCTCTATTTGAAATGCCATTGCTTAAGCTTGCTGTCGTTGTGGAGATGCATTCAAGACGGCGGATGCACACAAATTGTCGTGTGTCTCGATTTCGATGTCACTGTCACGTGACTAGACCTCTCGCACGTTTCTGGGCAGCTGATTATTCTCGCGAAAGAATCCGTTCTCTTTGCACTACACTTTGCAGGAATCATGAGATAGAGCAAACGACATCTTATTAACACATGATTAACTCTTTTGTCACTTCGAACAGCTTCCGGGCTACAGTTTGATGAATTCTTCCTAGTTACGCTTCCATAACACTAACGTTCAAAACCAAATCCCAGTTAATATTTGACATTTTTCAATATTAACTCCGTAAAAACAGAACAAATAAAATAAATAATCAAATTACTTTAAAATTCAGATTAAATGCTTATAATGCGTGAGAGGCCTAGTCACGTGACAGAGTGACATCGAAATCGAGACACGTGACATAATTCATGTGCATCCGCCGTCCTGAATGCGTCTCCACGACGACGGCAAGCTTAAGCAATGGCATTTCAAATAGAGCGCAATCGGTAATGTGAGGGCCCGGATTTAAGATTCGAATATTTTTATTCATTAAATTAAAAGTTAGGGTTAACACAAAAAGGGAAAAACAACCGACAAATTTTCTCATAAAAATCGCTCATAAAAACTCTGTTCTCATGACAATACTTCCCTGTAGAAGATGAGTTAACTGTTGTGTCATAAGTTTGTCACTTCGCCCACCATTGGTCAACGAAGATATACATAGGGAAATCTAAAAAAGAGATCCCCCATATAAAAGACAAGTGCAATGACGACACAGGGGGGAAAAGAGTTATTTTCTATACTGTGTGTGTGTGGATTACCTGCCTCTCATCGCCACCGTCTTCAACAGACTTTGAATTTTGACTGATTTGAACTTTGGACTATATTCCTAATCCAGGAGAACAAGAAACTACATCCACGGTTTAACTCGAGGTATTTATTCTACTCGTGATGATATGTAAGCTCTCTCTCGCTATTCGAATATTCCAACTCGCGGGTAGGGTTGCGACTACTTTATACTTTGCCGTTACTTTATGAACTATACAGATTGAAAATCCCAAGAGGGATTTGTATTCCAATTATTAACCACGTACAGAGTCGATAGATTGACTGGTCTTTCGACTTCCTATCTTCGCTCGTTGCTAAAATCAACTAGAGACAAATGTTACCACCAGGGGCACTGCAATCACAGCAAGATCGAATTGCTGTGAGGTCGAATGTTTTCTTTTTATTGAAAGATATATAACCTTCGAGTTCGATTTCATAATTTTTTATATGCATTTTATTATAAGAATGAAAAAGCTTTTATTTAAACCCAAAACCAGGTTTATGGATAAATAAGTGACACTTAATAAAACATTAAACACCTTCCATCGCTGAGAAATGTTTATTTAATAAAATACATTCGAACTCATTTACACCTGAGGATGGTTTATTCCATGAGGCTGAAAATGTTAGTGTTTTATTAAATAAACATTTCTCAGCGATNGAGTGCCAAGTTTTCGAGGCTCTACTGTATTAAGGTGCACTATTTACACAGTCACTTAGACTGTTTTCCTGAAAATTTAGAGACACCAGTGAAGAACAAGGTGAAAGATTTCACCAGGATATTAAAATTATGGAGGACCGCTACCAAGGAAGATGGAATACGCATATGATGGCAGATTACTGCTGGAGTTTAAAAAGGGATTGCTCCAAAATACATTCACAAAAGTCATGGAAAAGAAGCTTCCTCAATGTGTAACTGTTCAGTTTTATTGATGACTTTTTCCTCTATCTTTGTATAGAATAATATTTGCATAATATAATAATAAAAATTCTATGTTTAGTTTTTTTACTTGATCCATGGATTTAACTTAAGATATTGAAAAATTCGCTAAAATGCTATAACTTAAAAATTAGAGCTCCTAGGCAAAAACTAATGTCATATTTGAATTCAGGACATCAAATTCATATGAAATCAGCTCAAAATACCTGGGCACCAAAACCACTGTTGACCTGTGTTATTAAACTGATTACATGAAATAGTGTTAAAAATTATAAAGATTAATTTACCTCCATAGAAGATATTGACAGTTTAATAATACTTTTCAAATAAAATTTTTCAACACTTTTGAAAATCAATAATCATTTAAGTAAAAAGTTTAAATTTGAATTTTAAAATTAAGGAAGGTTTTAGTAGTTTTTTCCCCAGCGTTTTATATTTCCTTATGTAACTATTCAAATATAAAGTAAAATGACAAATTTAATTAAGAATATATTTTCATTAATTAAACTTAGACATTTTCTGATGATGAATGAACATCCAAATGGCCCAAATTTGAATTGTTTATAAGTTTTATGTTCCAGTAAAGCAATATTTGTGTTATATTTTACTCTTATATTGTTTTTACATTATTATTTTTGAAGCAAAGTATAAAGTTCTCAGTTCTCACCAAGAATGATACATTATGGCATGAAATTCAGGGCAAAATACTTCTTTACTAATATTAAAAAACAGTCAAAATTATAAAAGATCATACATATATATCCTCATGCTCATAATGCAAAAAGGGTGAGCAGCAGGTAAAAGAAGACTACAGTCTTACAAACTATCCATTCAGCAACTTTCTCCACACCTCCTTTCTTTCAGACACTCTCATGCCTCTTCTAGCACACTTCCTCACATTCTTTTTCTGAATCAATACCTTATGTTCTTTCAGATACTCATCCACTTGTTCCAACCAAGACTTTCTTGGCCTCCCCCTACTGTGCTTCCCATCCACCTTTCCCATATATACTCTCTTCAACAACACTCCAAAATAATAAAATTATAACAAAAATTAATGGAGCTTCAAAAAGTTCAGGCATTTTTGTGTAGTAGAAATTCATCAGGAACAGTTATTCAGAAATAGAACACTGTTATTAAAAGTTAGGAAACAAACCAGTAATCAAATCTGTTGCTTTTATTACAAGAAAATAAACAGATGCAATATTCATCACAAATAATTTAACATAAAGGTTACTAAATTTGTTTAAATTTAAACTGGATCAGGAAGAGAAGCTCATTTCATTTTCTTTCAGAGAGTTATTCTTGATGTATATTTATTACTTTATTGTGATGAGAAGAAACAGGAATCCAGCACATCACCTTTTCAAGATATCACAACACAAAACAATATCATAAAGTGAAAACTCTTGGTAATACAATTCTACTAACAAATTGTCCTCAGCAGAGGAGGCATCACAAGTCATCTGCCAGAGAAACTACTGTAAATAACCTTTAGATATGTAATAATTATTAGAGCTGGGCTATTAATAAAATTTATATAATAAACTTTAATAATAAAATATATATAAAATTTGAATTTAAATTAAAAGTTTAACAAAGCTAAAAATCATAGATATCAACAAGTTCATGAGATTTTATCTCTTGATAATACTTCCTTTCAAAATGAAACATCTTCCTGGAACTACTACTCATCCCAGAAAGTCAACAAAAGAAATCTGGGAATGGACAATAATTGCACTCTGTACTATCCAATTTTACCAAATTTGGATATGTCCAGAAAGCAGAAGAAGGATGAGTAAAGAGAAGATGACAAAAGGTCAGGTGAAGTTTGAAGGAGATAGAGGAAGTCCAGTCAAGTTTGACTCCCATCACCTGCCCAGGAAGACCCCATTGCCTCAGCTCCCCATTATGCTATATCACCAGAACTGTCTTATGGTGACTATTGTCAGGTATATCCGGGAAAAGAAACAAGGAAGGAACCTACTCTCAAGAAACATCATAAGGTATCATTCACTCCTTGCAAACTGTATATAAATATAAACATCCCAAGAACCCAATGTATTAATAATCAACCAACTATCAGCCAAATTAATTCTGTCCAATTAATTTGGCTGATGGTTGATTATAAACTGTATGTAAATTCTTTCACAGAATTAAGCATGAATAGGTTTTATTGAAACTCTTCTAAGTTTCGAACTATTTCTCAAACATTTTCACAATAATTTTTTTGTAATATTATGCCCGAGCAGACTGAATTAGAACTGGAGTATAAACTTTATACTATCTTAGATGTAATTTTTACAATTGTAATGTGTAGTAATAGTTGTCCCTGCTTAAAATAAATCTTTGTTGTTTTATTATTAAGTGCATTGTAGAATGAATCTCTTCTGGGTATTACATCTTTCCTATCCCTCCATCCGCTTACCCGTAAGTTCCCCCATACAGTACCACTTGTATCAAGTTTCAGTTTTGATTCTTGACTAGTGCCTGAAAATTACTGATCCAGAGGCATCACTATCATAATAAATCACTACAGTAATATGAAAAATTAAAAATAAGAAATGAATAAAATGGAAATTAGAATGTTTGGTATGAGAACATTCAAACTGTTTATCATAGATGTTGAAGAAGTTAAGAAAAAACTAGAAAGAAGACCTAAATCATAATATTTGTATGATCAAGGAAAACAGCAACGTAATTAAATAGCAGGCCACCAGAAGGAAATGTTAGGAAAATCCATCAACTTCCAAGGAAAGGAGAGAGAAAACATGGCAATAGATTTGAGTATTTTTTGTTTCCTAAATAATTTTGCTTTGTTTACGTATCACTGTTCCTAGTGACGAACATCTAATACATGAGCTCTTATATTTTTTTGGTAAGCTATCCTGCTCCCTTAAAACACTTTTGTCGTAAGAAGTGTAAACATATTCTATATAGTAGAGGTAATATTACTCACAGCGTCTTATCCGATTTACTTGGATTCCAAACCACAGCTTTTATAATCGATCTGTGTTTTCTCAAAACGTAAAGATATTCTAAAAAGTTCTCTTTATCATCAATTATGCTGACATTCCATACTCCAATATCTTCTAGCAACTTATGTTTCCAATATATTTTATCATTTGCAACTCTATTAAATCTTTTACAAACACGTGAAACGTTAAGGCGTTGTTCTTGATTTAGAAACGAGAACAGATAATGCAAAACTTCGTCCTAAAAAATAAATTCGGCTTTAAATATGTTAGCCACTACTTTATCTATTACTGTATGAATTTCATTTACCGATAAGTGTAGTATATTAACTTTGCCATCATATAACACTTCTTCCATTATTATTTGTGAAATAAATTATAATACGTACACTACAAATATATTAATAACATTTCTTCTTATCTGATCACGTTCTTATCTTATCGTCGTTCTGATCACGCTTCCATGGAAATACCCCTGAATCATAATTTCCACTAATGTTGCAATCTACTTTAATTAATACTATCTAACATGCCAATAACTTACATCAACAAATACCTTAAGCACACGTGTTTCAGTTGGCAACACGTGTACGTAACACTCCTCAACACGTGGTCAACAATAGAGGTAGAGATTATGCAACGTCATCACCAATCAGATGAATTTAAATAATTTTTATTTATTCTAAAAAGATTTTGGGGCTTTTTAACATATTTATAACTCTTACTAATATCACTGCTAAACCTTTAATTTCTGGTAAGATACGATACACAAACGAACGAACATTTTCGATCTTAACAAAGATATGCCTCAGGTTCTTGGATCACTCGAGTTCTGTTTGTTTGTTAAGTTACAACGCAACACTTGGGCGATCCGCCTAGAGGGGATACCTTCCGGCAGGTCTTTTTAAGGGAAACCGGCCCCTATTTAGGCATTAGGGTCGTGGAGAAAACCCGGAAAACTCCACGTGACTAGTCTGTCCGAGCGAAGCGCGAACTTACGACCGAACTCCCATTGTTCAGGGTACGAAGACCGCTTGGCCACTGGTGGGCCACTTGAGTTTTAAATATGGAATGCTAAGATTGAACGTTTTGAAATACAAACTGTTTTAACCAGTATGGAATTAAGAACAAACATTAATTTTAGTATATTATTTCAAATCTTTGTTCTTAATCCCATACTGGTAAAACAGTTTGTATTTCAAAACGTTCAAATCTTACTCGTAGCATTCCATATTTAGCAGGGGCGTGCCGTGACGTTTGATGATAGGGAAGCTGTGTTTCTATAACAAGCCGACATCCAGGGGCAATCAGTTAATTCTTTCTTTAAATGTATTTTTAATAGATTATTTATCTGACGTACTTAATAAACATGTGGGGGCCGAGGGGGGGAGTAATTTAAAAACTCGTCGAACGATAATATGTGATATATATCGTCGTCGTTTCCCTTGCCGTTTGGATTGCCGAGCGGTAACAATCAACATGTGGAAGCAGTTGAGTCAGAGATAGATGCTTCGTTTACAAACAACACAACCGTTTATTAAACACGAAAGAAGCTTACAAGATTTCCTCGATCTTGGAAGTTCTGCGGCGGCTGCGGCCTCTGGGTCTTCCTCTCCTTTCCAAGATAGTCCCATTTTGAAGTAGTGTCCCTTGTTCGCGCATGAACCATTCCATCACGTCTCCGGGACGATGCGGTCGACTTCCGTTGATGGAAAGTTGTCGATCCGAGGTCGGGAGATGGAGACGAAGATGGGTGCGAGACACACACACAACAACAGGTCCGTCACTTGGAANGAATAAAAGAACTGGCCTGGGACGGGGCTTCTAAATTTATTTAATAATTTATTTTTTTAATTATAATTATTAATTTACTTAAGAGATGGCACCTAACGTCTACCTCTAGTGTCAAATTATAACAATAATTTAATTAGCCTTATTATAGCCCGATATTTAGGCGATCGGTTGGCGATTTATTGTATACTACTTAGGCTTTGAAATGTTATCATTTAATTAGATAATGTTTATTTTTTCCGAATTTTCTGGTTTTTTTGTATATATACTATTCTATCCACTTATTAGGAGACACTTGTTAAAAAGATTATGAACAGATCTTTTAACTTTTAATAAGTATTCATTGGGGCTTTACAGTCTGATGCTATATCAAGATTTAATTGTATATACAATATTTTAACTAATTTAATAATAAATGAGAACTTACCATTCTGCATACCAACACAATTAAACATACTAGAATGACTACTAATAATTTTCCTAGCAATACAACTTAATCCAGATGTTTCTAGACCAGGACCAAACATTAAGCATTTTGGGTATTCTTTACATTCTGGTTCAGGTTCAGAAGTCAGTTTGCTAAACAGTGAAAAGAATTTTGAAACAGTTGAAGTTGGTTGAGCAGATCGACTTAGCTGAGTCTTAAAATTCAAATGCCTTCTTTTCAAGTTAGCTCTGGGACTACACATGACAAAACTAGAAATAAAATAATTTTATTATTTAAACATATTATTTTCTGCTAAATAAAATGCAGTGATGTATAAGATACACCATAATTTAATATAATAATAACCCAGCAGTTCATTTGGAAAATAAGTTGTCTTAGAAGGGAAAAAACTTCGTTATTTGATTTTAACTTTTACAGTAACATTTAAGGAAAATTCAGCAAGAATAGAAATTTCATACAGAGAAAAAGGGAAAATGCTTGTTTTATCTTAATTTTCAGCATGAACATAGATCATAAAACTGGAGCTTATTGGTCCTTTTGATTCCAGAAATTTTAATTAATTAAGAGATGTCAGAAGTGCCACAGGAATTTGTGACTTTGCTACTAATGCCTGACAGATTTGAGACAGATCAAGCATTTATAGCAATATCACTTTGATCATTTGTCATTATCATAATATGTAAAAAATAGCAATAAATCCTGTTAATGGCATCCATTCAGTGGCAGATTTATGACTTGAAAGGCCCCAGGCACAATTAAATTTTGAGGCCCTCTAAATATCTTCACTACCCCTACACCCTACTGTGAGCATTCTACGCACACGTTTACTCTGGTAGGCATTATATTGGTAGTCCCAAAAAACTGAGACATAAAGAAATAACATTGAAAATTAACAAATATAAAATTACAACAGCCTGGCTGTATTTAAAAGGCTACTGATGTTCAGATTGTATTAATTATAAAAATTGAAACTTATTGAGACAAGAATTATTAAGTTTCAATAGGTAAAAATGTTAAAAACAAAAAAATCTAGTTATCTATGAATATAAAAAAACAATTTATTTTAAAATTTATTACTGACTTGTCAATTTAATTTAGGGAATACTGCTAAATTATTAACCTTTCAACAGTGGGTTAGTCAGATGTGGCATTACCACTTAGTTGTGGAGAATAAACATGGAAAATTTTTAAAGTACTTTTCCACGTGTTTTTTTCTCATTACCATTTCAAAAAAAATTTTGTAAACAGTTGTTTAGTAACAAAAAGTCCTTTTTTATTGTTACATAATTCATTTTTTACGTGAATTTCTTTTGCGGTTGTTTTTGGCGATACTCCCAAAAGAATTTAATGGCTATATCTGTCCTTCACCACTGCCATACGATTGCCCTGGACAGATATATCCGTCCTTCACCACTGCCACACGATTGCCCTGGACAGATATATTCGTCCTTCACTGTTGAGTGGTTAATTATTTTTATTATGAAACAAATAATAACTAAATAAAATAATTTTTTTTTATTTTGAGAGCTGAATTTTGAGATCCCAGGCACTCATCTCATGTGCCTGTGCAGAAATCTGCCACTGCATCCATTTACTGCAAAAAATGATTAAAAACATTCAAAATTCAGCTATAAGTTAGATCACAAACTGAGACTTTATTTTTGAGACTGAGACTGATGTTTTGAGATGTACCCTAAGTAATTTCAAGTACTTCTATGATAAAATTAGACTAAAAGCATCCTGAAACGTTGAAAAGGAAAAGAAGAATAAACAAAAGAAAGAACAATACAAAAAAAATTTTTAGAGCAAAAAAAAAAACAAAGGTGATAAATTCAATCTCTCCTGAAGAGTTCTGAAGATAAACATCATAAATGGATCACATTGCACAGTGCCAAAATTACCACTTGGTAATATTTTTATTAAAGTCACAATAAAAATATAATACTGGCAAAAAAATCCCTAGTCTGCTTATTTTGACATTCAGCATGAAATTCAATCACAAAGCACACTTCAAGAAAACAGTAGAATGTCAAGCTCTTGTGCAATGAGAGTCCCATGCACCATATACCTAGGGATGTCATGATATCACATAGCAAGTTCAAACAGGAAAGTGATGTTGAGAACCAAATGCAATTTTTGGCAATGCCATCCGGGTTTCCAGATTAGAGATTTTTTGTTGACTGACAGAACCTGTGAAATACTGTCTGAGCATTGTGGTCAAACGTATTATTCAGAATTATTCATTAAGAAATTATTCAAAAATGATTGCTATTTCTAAGTAACAGCATAACATGTTACTTTTGCTTTCCAGACTCCAAACAGTAAGACTACCTGACAGGCTCTGTATTAATTAGTACCTAAAACTGGTGGAGATAAATAATTTGAAGCTGCAAAAAAAAATTTTAATCTGGTGAAATAGTTGGCAATTTTTTTAAAAATTTTTCAGAGCAACCCTTGTATCAATATGCTCGAGCAATCTGAATTATTTCTGTTCTGATAAAAGAACTCTGAATAATATATTTTGAGTATTTTTGCAACAAAAGTAGAATAATAAATAAACTGGAACTTATCTATAAATCTGAAAAATAAACATAGACCATCTACTATGGGAAAAAACAGTTATATTATTCATTTGATGGAAGAAAATATGTTATCTATATAAAATTCTTATTTTTCTAACAAAATTCATCAAAGAATTTTGCAATTTTGCAAGAAATCTTTCTTTCATTCAAGTCAATTCAATAACTAGATTTTTCTAAGAAATTTAACTTAATAATTAGATAAATTTTAAAGCTTTGTAAAATTCCTTTTTGTTAAATTTAAAATAAATGATAAAAGTATATGCATGAAAAATTACACAGGTCAACAAAAAAAAGTTTTTTTTTTTGGTGCCTAGGATTTTAGAACTGATTTTAGCTATATTTGGGTCGCTGAATCCAAATATGAAATCAGTTTTTTTCTATCAGCTCTACTTTTTTAGATCTGTGTTTTTTTAACGTACAGTGCTACTTGAAATGTGCAACTCTAATTCCAATTTGTACAGTTCTAAATCACATATGCAAGAATTGATTCCTGTATATTTTCCCCATTGTTCGTCTGCCGTCCAGTTAGTTTCAGGTAAATCCATCAAATGAAGCAAGCATTCGGTAACGAATTGACATTCAATGCTTCAACTAGAGTTGAGGTAAGTTTGTAAGTTCTAGCCGTGCAGTGTCTAGATCAGTGTTTCCATTTTTTTTGTGCTATGCCCCACCTAAGCCTTTCTAAAATTCTTATGCCCCCCTAACGTATACACTTAATTGCCACACTGTTTTGTCGTAACCACAATAAAACCTGATCCTTTCATCAAAGTCTCTCATACTTTCCAGTTGTTGCCAAACACAACCTGGAACACAACTCATGTCTGTCCACCTCAAGGTCTGGGCAAAGAATG